TTGTCAACAGTGCTTTTTGTTGCTGCGCATCAAGGCCTGTTAAAGCCATGTTGATACTCTTTTTCTGTACCATGCCCTCCACTGTGGACTGGATTATACTTCGGATGACAGGGATAATCACAGCATTCTACACATAAACCAATAGAAAATCACATCATGGCAAAGGGTGGGCGAAGGGGGAATAGAAAGTTACAAGCTGCATGGCATAAGGGGGAGAAAGGGCAGGTGTGGGAGTAGCTGGCTCACATAGTTCATGTTACATGAGGCTGCATAGTGAGTCCTGGTCGTTTAGGCCGGAAGAATGTTTCTGGTACAATGTTTTTGCATCCCTGTGTATGTGTGTTTCAGACAGCAGAAACTGCCCTGCACACACACACACACGGAATGATTTTGTTTTTTAAAAGGCAGCGTCTCCTTCTTCATCGCTGGGCATGCGGAAGGGGTCTTTCCCCATGCAAGCGGTTGACTGTTCATGTAACTGTGTGATTCAGCGTGACTCTGCAAGCCCTAGTATGAACTAGGCCATGGGTGACCCATACCTACACAAGGAACTATATTACAACAACACCTGATAGAAATGTTGTTTTCATGGGATGTTTGAAACTTTTTTTCATCAATGGCATTTATTATATATGACTATAAATGTTGTTAATTTGGCTAGATGGATCATTTTTAGACAGTACTTTTTTTTTACTGAGAATATACCATAGTTTCCTGATGTAAGCTCGATTCTTTTGGCATTAAAGGCTTTCTGGTTCACTATGGGTCTGCTGAGATTCATTGGTGTGGCTGGGTGGGAGGTAATATTTCTAACTGCTTCCTAAAATAGTGATTTTTGTGTGAAACCAGAACTGAAATGTGAGCTCTTTTGGAGTCATTGCTTTCTTGATGCACATAACTGCAGAGTTTTGTCTGTTTTACAGAAAGTGTTTCAGACAATGCCTTCTTGTTTTAATTATTGCATATTTAAAGGCATTAAAAGATTAAAAGAAGGCATTATTTATTTAAACACTTTGTAAAGTGACTCTGGGAAAAAACAGTTACAAATAGAATACTGTACAGTATGTTCCCATTTCTTTCTCAAATTGCTTGTTCCAGTCTATTAAACTCCATTCCAACTTTTATATCACCCTGAGAATTAGTTCAAGTCACATGGTGAGGATCCAGCTCCTTATTTTCCAAAATCTTCACTGGATCCTCTTTAAGCCACTGTTTGGTGTAGAGAGCAGAAAGGACTTCGGAGTTCTGCCCAAAGTCTATTTTTTCCTTAGCGGTCAGTTGACACAGCAAGCCTTGATTCTGAAGAAGTTTGGAGCTGAAAGGTATTGTATTTGAAGTGGGTGAGAGAGAAAGAATTGCACTGTGCCTTTCCATTACGGCTGAGAGAAGAGAAAGAAAGTGGCTACATGAGGCTGGTTCTTCAATCTGGCAAATTCAGAGGCTCACTTTGAGGAGCAGGAACTTGAAGGTGAGGGGCATGCAAAATGCTGGCAAGCTTTGCCTTGTCCTTCCCTTTTCTGCTTGATGGGAGGGAGTTAGCTTAAAGGAATGTTTGTTTAATTGTCTTGATGTATTCTTAGTGAACTGCAAAAATATCAAGTTAGGAATTGCCTTTGGAAAGATGATCGCACTCAGGTGTATATCCAAAGCGGCTTATTGTTCCTTTTCCCTCCTGCTGGTTTTAACAATACTTTGATAATCTTGCAAACTGATCTGATACTTTGATAATCTTACAAACCTGTTGATGCCAAGTAGGAAATTGTAGACGCAGGTTCACAAAAGATATCCAAAGTAGATTAAATCTACATTTGAATTGATGTCATCCCACACAAAAACTTAGGAGCATTTATAAAATCCTCCAATTGGTCCCAGAGTTGGGTTCTGAGATTATGAGCTGTCTGAACAAGTTAATGAAACAGAGACCTCTGGAATACTTTAGCATTGTAACATAGGACTGGCAGAGCAATGTAGATGACGTTTTGACCACAGATTGAGGACGAGCATGGTTTGAGAGGGGAGTGGTAAGGAGACAAGTCGCAAATTTATATCATTAGGAACCTGACTTTCCCCAGATACTCTCAAGAACTGGCTGCTATGGTCCACCTCAGTGTCACTCCTGAAGTCTCCCTCGCTGACTTGCCAGTGAAGATTTATGCCTCTGGCCTGGCGCCCTCCCAGCTTGTGACCTTACATGCATCATTGACAGATGAAAAGGGAATGAAGTTTGTAGCCAGAGCCTTTTACCAAGCCAATCAGAATGGAGAAGTGGATGTGGCACAGGCTTCTGCTCTGGGAGGTAACTATACAGGTGTGTGGCCCATGGGCCTCTTTTACACTCTAAAGGCTGAGAAGATGTTCCACAGGCTGCTCAAACGTGATGTGACAGGCAGCCCCTTCTATGTTCAGATTAGCCTCTTTGATTCTACTGTGATTGTGCCCTTGCCAATGCATGAACCACTGGCTACTTGCACTGTGGAACGATGGTATGCAGCCCCTGGAGTGGAACGCATCTCCATTAAGTGCGGCCGGGTCCGGGGAGCCCTCTTCTTGCCTCCAGGTAAGGAAACTGAATTCTGTTTTTTCTTCCACTTCTCTTTATTGCCTCAATCTCTTGCTTGCAATGGATGGTGCCTCCAAATGTATTTAAGGTGGTAGTGCCCAGACTTTCTAGCGAGCATTCATTAAATCATTATCTTTGAAATTCTGTCAGAGAATATGTGGAATACTAAATGACTAAAGAACAAAAATACTGTCAGAAAGGAGGAACTGAGGAACTACAAATCAGTCAATTTGGCATCAATATTTGGGAAGATTCTAGAGTAGATCATGAAAGAATTTGTTAGCATGTTGGAGAAATATTTAAACTTTATATATTTGCAGTAGTACTAATTTACAATATTTGTACACTGCCCCAGTTATGAGAGTCTGTTACTACCCATTACTATACATTAGCATGTATCAGACTAATCTTTACTTTCTATTAACGCCTTTCATAGATTATGAATATACTGTAGATACAACACTGTATACCAATGCATTTGACAAAGTATGACATTCTCATCAGCAGGCAGGATGATTGCGATTGAGTGACACGTCAGTTTGGATATATAGTAATTCAAAAATAATATTCAGATGCTCATTTAATCATGATTCTTCATGAAACTAAAGTGAGATACTGAATTCAGTGCTGCAAACTTCATCCTGTGTCAATATTTTTTATTAATGTCTTTGATTTGATGAAGAGGTAGAAGGAATGCTCTTCACATCTGCAGATAACACAGAATTAGGTGAAATAGCTGATGCCCTAGAAGATACCGATAAAATTGAACATGGATGTAGTAGTTTGAGAAAAGGAACAAAAATGACAGAAAGAAACTTAATTGAGACAACGAAAAGTCTTTCATGCATCTCACAAATAAGATATAGAATAACAGAGTTGGAAGGGACCTTGAAGGTCTTCTAGTCCAACCTCTAGTCCTGCTTAGGAGGAAACCCTACACCACTTCAGACAAATGGATATCCAACATCTTCTTTAAAACATCCAGTGTTGGAGCATTCACAACTTCTGGAGGCAAGTTGTTCCATGTGAGATACAAAGCTTGCTAACGGTACCTATGAAAAAGATTTTGCAACAGTAACTGAGTGAAAATTAAATGTGGCCCAGTAGTATGACATAGTTATAAAAAAAAGCAAACAGTTTTAGACATCATTAAAAGCATTATTCCCAAATCAGAGAAAATAATGTATTTGATAAAAGGATATTACTCTTCGTTTTTCATTTCTTTACTTATCCTTGTTTTTTCTCCCTTTCTGCCTCACCAGGCCCTGGGCCATTTCCAGGACTGATTGACCTGTTCGGTGGAGCTGGAGGACTAATAGAATTTCGAGCTGGTTTATTGGCTAGTAAAGGCTTTGCAGTTCTGGCTTTGGCTTTCTTTGCATATGATGATTTACCACAGACTTTGGAAGTAATAGATCTGGAGTATTTTGAAGAAGCATCCAGACTACTCTTGAAAAATCCTAAGGTATGCCTGAGATTGTATCTTTTCTTAAACTTCTTGTTGAGACTCAGGAAAGATCCTAGAGTTTATTCTCTATTTGCTATGCAGAATACTTCATACAAACTAGGTACCCATAAGATATGACAAGCTAAAGGCATTTTGGGTCTATCATGAGCACAGCACTGATCAGTAGCATTATTCCTGAGGGCACAATGATGAGAGCAGCATTGCATTGCCACCTTTTGTATGAGCAATGTGATAGCCCATACACATAGAAAAGGTGCAGGGCTGACCCCTCAATGTTGCAATGCTCATTTTGTGGACACCCATAACATCCACCCCACTTGGTTTTCATTAAAGCATACCATTTTTTCCTTAGGCTTCTTTATGTGTAGCTGAAAGACATGCAAAAACATGTGATTGAGAGTCGTGCTAAAAGTGCACTGCTTTAAAAGCTGATTCATAAAAGCAACAACATTTTTGTCAGGCTTCCTCTCTGTCGTATTTTCTTCTCACATATTGGCTGGCTGACCGAAAGAGAAGGTGACCAACTTTTCATTTTGGAATGATGTAGAACTGCAGTAAAATAGCATGTGCACTAAAAGACTGTCATTTTTTATAGTTTCAATATTGTTTGTTGTCATTGTTTTGAAGAAGAAACTAATTTAAATTTTTGTATGTGTCTCTGCTCCTCTAGGTAAGAGGTCCAGGACTTGGAGTTATTGGTTTATCCAAAGGAGCAGAAATTGCATTGGCCATGAGTACTTTCTTAAAGGAAGTAGTGGCTTCAGTGTCCATCAATGGTCCAACAAGAATGACTGGTACATCACTCCACTTTCATGATGTTAGAATCCCTGAAACTTCCTACCCATCTGAGAAGGTTGTCATTAATGAAATGGGATTGGCATCCACTTTCTATTGCTTGGGACATCCTCTGGATCAAGCACCTGAAGTATCTGCCATCCCTGTGGAGAAGGCCCAGGGACACATCCTCTTTGTGGTGGGAGAAGCTGACCAAAGTTTAAATAGCAAGGTGTTTGCTGAAGCAGCCATGGCTCGAGCAAAGAAACATGGAAACAATAATTGTAGCCTGTTGTCTTATCCAGGAGCTGGACATCTGATAGAACCCCCTGGATCACCAGTTTGCTATGCTTATCCACTTCGGTTTTCTCTCATCCCAATCCAATGGGGAGGGGAAATGAAGCCCCATGCTAAAGCCCAGGAGCATTCTTGGAATGAGATCCTGAATTTTTTTAAGCTTCATCTTGGGCCACTTCAGAATAGCAGTTTATGATAAAAGAAAGGCCCGGTTGTTTAGTTTCCTTTGGGATTATGCAGTTGGGTGGATACATTGAGGCCATGAACTCCAGTTTTCTTACTCTGTGCAGGTTAAAGTTAAAACCTTTAGATGAAGGGGAGTCCTGTAGTTCTTCAACTAATTAGATCCATTGTTGAACTGCTGTTGGTGTTAGGAAATTTTTCAGAACATTCAAATAGTCTGCCTCACATGTTTACATGTCCCACAGTCTGGGAAGAAAACAGACATTAGTGTTCTCTGTGGGCTTCCTAATGCTCTTCCATCCTTCCATCCATCGTTTGCTTTTCATAACGCTCCACAGGTCAACAGTCTTCATTTTACCTTCATAACATTTACTTGCCATTCTCTGAAATTAAAACAGTTTGTGTGAATTCTTAAAGGGTGGAACATTTCCTCCTCAGATTTGGAACTTACATTTCTTCTGGTACAAAGTAAATTACATTTGCTCTTTTTTAAAATAGCGTCACAATGCTATGTCAGTTTTCAATCAACAACTATTCTAAGATGGGGGTTTGATTGGGTTTTTTTTTGGGGGGGGGAGATATTAGTATCAAATCAAATATCTTCCATCCCATAAATATGCATCTGAATTTTGCTTTCTAAATGCTTAATTTCACCTTTGTTTCTTTTAAAAATATTTTTTTACCAGTGGTTTATTTGACTTATGTAGGTAATTCTGAATTTTATTTCTATTCAGTTCTCAACCAGGTTAATATCATCTGAAAATGTGATATTTTGGCAGTAATTGTAACCACAAAAAGAGCCTTCACAGGGTTTACTGATCCATAGTTTGTTGGATAAGCCATTGCTGCCTGATTAACATAAAATGCCAATAACCATAGAATACAAACTATCAACCTTTTTAAGGACCACAGAATACAAACCATGATAAAACAAAAAGTGATTTGCTTGGATTTTATTAGTGTGATGTGGGAACTCATTGTCAGCCCCAGGGAACCAAGGATGACACAAGGAGTATTCAGAGTACTTCACCATCTGGTCAGAACTTACCTTTCCATTCCCCCACCACTAACATCCAGTCTCAACTGTCAGTACCTATCCTTTAATCCCGCCCCCTGCCATCACATATGATGATGTTTCAGGAGAAATGAAACATTTCATTATTCTTCCTCAAGAAAAAAAACCCAGTCCAGTTGCCTTTTCAAAAAGCATTTTTGAGACAAGTATGACCTGGATGACTGAGAATCTCCACTGACACTGAGTACACTACTTCAGAGTACTTTCTTTACTGTTACTCACCAATAGACAGAAATTTTTCCAGACTGAAACACTTTCTGTGTGACTATTAGATTTATCCTGTGAACTGCCAGGGAGGGGTTGCCTTTGTCCTTTTTCTACATACCAGAGATTCAACGCTATGTTGTCTCTGCCCCTGAGGAAGGAGCTCATCCTCCTGCGATTCTGGATACAACCCATCCCGAGATGAGAATATCCTTATCACATGGTTTATTCTGTAAAGTACATATTAGAAATATTACTTTGTAGTAAAGGGCAAATAATATACATAGAGAGAGATGTTTTGTTAAGGCACCTGGTATGCCCCAAATATTGGAGGGAACATACTGTTTCCCTTTTGCCTTTCAGCTCCACCCTAGGAGCCTTCCAGACCAAAACCATTTTTGTATTGATTTGTTTTGCTGATAAATAAATGAAAGGAGACTAGTATAGATCTATTTCAAGCTATTTAGCTCTCATCAGCTAGCCATAGAACATAGAAAAGGGAGGAGAGCTTGTGGCTCATTATAACTGCCTGACATGTAAAATAGCCTAAGTTCAAATCCCAATAAGGGTATGGCTAGTTGATGAGAGCTAAATAGCTTGAAATAGATCTATACTAGTCTCCTTTCATTTATTTATCAGAAATACACACAGACAGACAGACAGACAGACAGACAGACAGACAGATAGATAGATGATAGATAGATGATAGATAGATAGATAGATAGATAGATAGATAGATAGATAGATAGATAGATAGANAGATAGATAGATAGATAGATAGATAGATAGATAGATAGATAGATAGATAGATAGATAGATAGATAGATAGATAGATAGATAGAGATAGAGATAGATAGATAGATTTTCCAGGTTTCTATTTGTCTCATGCTGATTGGTATTTCTTTAGTACAAGTGCTGAACTGTAAAATGAAGTCAGTAATTTCCCCCTCCATATTCCTATCCAAAAGAAAGCCTCACTTACAATAGAAACAAAAAAAGGCTTCTCAACTGAACCCAAAGCTAACTTCATATCTTATATTAAATTAGGAGAATCTATTTCATTGCGTGGATCAATTCTCATTTTAACAAGTAGCAGCACTAATTGTCCTTGGAAGCCAAATAAAGTTGGACCTGATTAGTACCCAAATGGAAATATCTAAGGAAATGTTTTGAAGATGGGGCATGCCTCTTTTTGAGGCCAACAGATGCCAATATCAGTCATACTAGGTGTCCAAAAAATAAACTGACCATTGTCACACAAATGTGGAGTGAAATATATGACTTCTGGAAATAGGCCTACACATTCAAGGCTTTTCTCCCAGATTTGCATATTTTAAAAATGGCATCAAGAACACCTGGGATTATCAATGAAATGTGGTCAGTTACTGTAAATTATTCTGAAGGGTGTGATTTAGAACTGGATGTATCTAACTAAACCATTTAGATGACAGCACCTAGCTAACCTTGGCTGGTCTCAAAAAAAAAGCAGCTAAGCAGGATAAGATGTTCAATACTTAAATAGGAGACAATCAAAAAAATTCAGGGCAACGCAGATAGTCCTCAACCTAGGATTGTGACTGAGCCCAAATTATGATTGTAAATTGTACCAATCATCATGCAGGTCATCACATGAAAAACTTAGTTTTATAAAAAAAAAATGCAGTGATTAAGGGAACCCATTAGTTTAGTTCATTCTATTGTTATTGCACATGGAAAACGAAATTAAATGTGTTCTTCAGTGTACATTACAATTATAAAAATTTTAAAAAGTTAATACATTGCAAGTAAATCCCAGTTTTTGGCAAAAAAATGTCATAAATTGTCCTCATGAGAGCACAGGTTGCTGTAAACAGCCATAAATAGTGGCCAATTGTGAAGTACCCAAAATGTGATCACATAACTACGGGGAGTGGTGGTGGGGGAGTCATTGGAATTTAAAATCCAAGACATAAGTAGAGATGGGAAGGCTTGGATAACATCCTGGGAAAATTAGGAGGGGATCGGGGGGGAAGGTTTTCCCATTTTTTTCCAAACACCTTTCCCCCACAATTTTCCCAGGTTTTTTCCAGGCCTTCCCATCTGTAGTTGTAAGTACCTTTTGGGGAGGAGGGGTATGTTGTAACTTTGAATGGTCACTAAGCACTTAGAGGCTAAACGGAAGTTGAAAAATACTAGATAATACAGCAATGGTGAATGCTTCTATTATTATTGCCAAGAAAATTAATCAACATGTCTTTTATGTCATTGGCAGTCAAGATCAACTCAAAGGAGTCTTTATTTTTTTATGGGCCAAATGTTTTTTTTTTCCTGTCCTTTCATTCCTCCTTTTGCACAATGAACTTTAAAGTATCAAGATAAGGCAGTCAGTTTTGAAACCAGGACTTTAAGAATTATGATTTGGGGGGGGGGAAACAAGAGTGGAGCATGAACAGGGATATTTGGATACATGTCTTTAAAAAAAATAGAATTAAGATAACTATAGTTATTTTAAGGAATCATAGCATTATTATCTTAATTCTATAATTTATTTAGGTGCCCGGGAAGACAGATTACAGATAGTTATGAGGATGAACAATCTAAACATAAAAGTTGCTGTAGGTACTATTTCAGTTATCTGAAAATTAAAATTCATCCTATTGTTAGTTTGTTAAAGAGATAATGTACACAAATCTCAAAAGCTTTAGCCTTAGAATGCAACAAAACCTCTGTGAAGTACTGACGGTCAGCTCTACCACTCTCCTGCGGTCCCTCAGAACTATCAAGCAGTGGCTGCTTGGCTCTGCTCACTAATAATCTGGGAAAGTATACTCTAATGGAAAACATAATACAGTTTAGCTATAACTGGCTTGCTAGAGCAGCATCTCTTTCCACCAGTTGGCAGCAGTGAGAATAAGGAGAGAGAAGCAACTTTGTTTAGATGGGTGAGAAAGATGTGATTTAGCACACTGCTAGTGAGTCAAGTGGAATCGAATTGCCTAGTAAAGGCAGATTGGGAACTTCAGGGAGCTCTTGTTGAGGGCATTTCAAGACTGGACAGTGCTATGGACAATGTCATAGCCACCACAGGACTAAACTGAACAGATTCAGACTGAAGTGTGTCCATCTGATTGTAAACTCTTGAATATTTATCAATAATTGCTCAACGATATTAAGCAGGAAATACTAAAAGGGATTAAATCTTCAAACAAGACCCAGTTATCTTCACAAGAGTCTCGGGTAGTCTTATTTATGACTACACAAGACAGGAGGATTTTGATGGCAGAAAAGGCATATTAAATGCCACATTTTAAAACCAACACTTGGCAGGTTGATATTTTGCCCGGTAAAATTCCGTCACTTCCATTGACAAATTCATTCTGTGTATTTAGGCTTTTGTGATAAATGTTTGGATCAGGATTAAGAATTTCCATTTCCTCTGGGTTATGTTTGCATAACCACTTTTCAAGCTTCCATGAACTATTTTTAACCTTGGCTATTTGTTTATTTCTCCCCTTATCCTCCCAGGTAAAAGGCCCCAAAATTGGAGTTATTGGCTTGTCCAAAGGAGCTGAAGTTGCATTAGCCATGGGAACTTTTTTAGAGGAAATAGCAGCTGCAGTTTGCATCAATGGTGCCACAAGTATGAATGGTGCACCCCTCCATTTTCGCGATATCAACATCCCTGCTGTTCCCTACTCGGCAGAGGCAATTCTTATCAATGAAATGGAATTGATGTCCAGTTTCAGTGTCATGGGAGATCCTCTGGATTCAGTTCATGAAGTCTCTGCCATTCCCGTGGAAAAAGCCCAGGGTCACATTCTCCTTGTGGTAGGAGAAGCTGACCAAAGCTTGAACAGCAGGAAATTTGCTGAAGTGTCTTTGGGCCGTGCAAAGAAGTTTGGGAGAACTAACTGTAGCTTATTACCCTACCCTGGGGCTGGACATATGATAGAACCACCGGGATCCCCAATTTGTTTTATCTCTTCTATCCGGGGTAGTCCTATACCCACAATATGGGGAGGGGAGATGAAGCCTCATGCCAAAGCTGAGGAACATTCCTGGAAGGAGATCCTCAAATTTTTTGAGCTCCATCTTGGCCCGGCTAGAAAGTTATGATATCAGAAAAAAGTGCAGGTTTCATAGGTTCTTTGGGTGCACAAATATTATCAGAAAAGCCTACTCAGAAGATAGAAATTAGGTTCTCATAATGCAGGTGTCATAAAGATAACGAGAGAGTAAGAATCATGTGCCATGGCAAGACTCTGGAAATGGAAAAAGATTGTCTTGGCTTGTTTGGTCTATTGTGAATTTCAGAGTATTTCTATAAATTTTTATTTCAAATAAAATGATGAGTTAATTATAATTATGTTGGCTTTGAAATGAATCCTTTGACCTCTTGTTTGTACAAAAATCATAAATTCTCAATGTGTTGCATCTATTGTAGTAAATAGCTTGTTTCATAAGCAGCTATCACCTGCAGGATTCCTAATTAATCTCAGGGTAGGACATACATAAACCATGCTTGGTTCTATTGGGATACTGATTTACATGCATTATAAAGTTATTCAATCACTTATTTTCCTTTTTACCTTCTTACTATTTTAGTATGATTTACATTTACAAAAAGATTACATTTTTAAGTCCAGTTCTGTCTGCAAAAGAAACTGAAAGCTGTTAACTCTGATGATTAACATAAATTAAATCTTCACATAGCAAATTTGTATCAATGTTAAATATATTTCTAATATATAACAAGTATGGATTGCTTATACAGTTGATGCAAAATATGACAATGATAAGTTGCAAATGTATTGCATAGCTTTGTCAGATGAAAAAAGTTTATATCTTTGAACTTCATAAAATGTCTATTATTGTTATTGTTATTTATAAGTACTAAAAGGGGGGGGGAGGGAAAAGAAAAGAAAAGGTATCCTGCTTGGAAATAATACATAGTTATGTAATCTCCAACTTCCCCCTTTCTCTGTACTATCGTAAACATATCCTGATAAAAAACAAAGGGAAACCACAAGCAACCACAAGTAATAAATCTTACTTTGAGATCAGAGGTTTATTGTTTCATGAGCAATTTTGAACATGAATAGCAAACATAGCATCATTTAGATTAGCAATTTATTGCAATAAGCTCCATTGACACAGTTGAATCCAGCAAGGATTAGCTATAACCAGTGGCCCTGAACTCATACAGATATAGAATTAAAGAGTACAAATGTAGAAAGAGAGCTAGGGCCAGGTATAGAATTAGAGTACAGAAGAGAGTTAGGGTCATTTTCTCACACTCCCTCCTGTTTATCCTTGATGACAACACCAACAATTGATCATATAGTACCTAGCACATCAGCTGTTTAAAGTGTAACTTTCAATTAATTAATAAAACAAAACATCCTTCATTTAAGATGGAGGAGGACACATCTACTTTGATTTAAAGGCATTTCAGCAAAGCAGATACAGAAAAGGGAATAGACAGGATGAACCATTTGAATTATGGGGCATGCAACTCTAAATATACATTAACTATATATTATTTTAATTGGAGGGTTGGGGAGCGTTCTCATGGAACTGTGTAGAGGAGTAACAGCACTGGTCCAGACAGCAGGCATAAGACCTCTTCTAAAGCAGGCTGTTTCTTGCAGTTGTTGCTGGGCTTCCATGAAGCTGGTCTTTTGTCTTGTTCCTTGATGGTAGGCAGAAAAGAGTTACTCATTGCTGGCATGGTTTGGGGCAAAGGTTTGGAGAGCAGGAGCAGATGTTGCTAGCACTTACCTCCCTGTTGGGCAAAACTTCAGTCTTTGCCTTGTAGCAGTCAAGTGACCTGAGCTGAGGGGGTTTCCTCGTCTGTGGCTGGTATCTTCTTTCAGTGCAAAGCATGCATCCAAGAGGCCAGATGTTGACACTTCACAGCAGTATTGGTGGTCAAGATGATTTGGAGTGAACCCTTCCAACGAGGAGCCAGGCAATTCTTTCATTGAAATATCTTCACCAGTGCCCTAAGGTGCCAAGGAGTAGCAAGGATGAAAAGTCTTTTTTTTTCTTTGAAAGCGTAGCAGCAACTTGTGAATGACAAGTCTTTAAGGTTGTAACTGAGGCACAGCAATAGTCTAACATGATGCTGTCCAAAGCTTGTATATCAGCCAGGTGCACAACAAATGGAAGAGAAGCAGGCCTGAGGGTCAACCCATTCTAACAGGGTCCACCTGATGATTCCATGTATATTTCTTTAATTACCTGGTTTGCAAAGTGAGCACCCCTATCACTTCCCAAAAATATAGGGATACCAAATTGGGGCAAAAATGTCCTTAAGAAGGCCAATAGTATGTTGCTAGCAGACAATACAGATAGAGCAAAGATGTTTAGCCAGAACATGAACTCCAGGAGCAAATCATTTTTTTGCAAATAAACTAGCAAGCAGTTAAATCTGCCATGGTTGCAAAGTTCCAAAAGTTTGACAAAGGTTTGCATGGTGACTGCTGTGTCCAGTCTTCCCTATGGTCCATGCCTGACACAGAAGTGGCTGAGCTCTGATTGGCTGAGGAGAAACTGGTGCCACTATATAAGGAGCTGTCAAAGGCTGGCAGCTGCTGCTCCTGTTAGCCTACCAGCCACATTAGCTGTCAAACTAGTGCTTACTGTTAGCCCCCAATGTTAGCAATAAAGACTCAGTATGTAAGTCCCCCTCACACTGGGACATAACAGCTGGTGACGAGGGTGGGATAATGATCCCGACCTGAGGCGAAGACAAGGGCTGACCAAACAAGTCACTGAGCTGCCACTGAAAGAGCTGAAGCTGTTGTCAGCAACGAAAAGTCACCTGATGAAGACAAGCTACAAACTGTGTTCCCCATCTGTGGAGAACGGCAGCCTTGCCCATTTTTGTTGCTTTTAAGCCCACAGAACAATCATGGGACACAAACGTAGAACAATTTGAATGTTTCCTAATGGCTAATGACTACGGAGGTATTTCAAATGATAGGAAAAAAGTTTTATTTCCTATCCTATTGTGAGGATGAGGTGTTTGAAACTGCTAAGAATTTAATGGCTCCTTAGAAATTACATACTATGTCTTGGGAAGTAATTTTAGAAAATTTAAGGAACCATTATTCTTCTGTTCCCTCTGTGATAGATAGCCAGAAGACATGCCTTCTATCACAGGAATCAAAAAGAGGGAGAAACCATAAATCAGTTCATATCTTCCCTCAGAGGTGCTGCCTTGTACTGGAAATTTGAGAATTTGGAAAATGCTTAGGAATAGATTGGTATGTAGCATAAGAAACTTAAGGTTGCAACACCACTTACTGACTAAAACAGTACTTCCCCTTAAATTGGCTCTTGATGAAGCTAGAACAGCTGAACTCTCTAACAAATCTTCCTCAGAAATTCAATTGACAAACACTTCAAATTTTCCCGCCAAAACGGAGGCTGTCCATTCAGAAACAGCAGACACATTGGCAGACACAGCAGACGAAGAAGAGATACACCGCCTCAAATTACCAAGTAACAGAAGAGACAACAAAGGACAAGTAGACAACCCAGAATACATGCTAAATTGTGAGGGACAACACCTGAGGTGTTCATGCAAGTTCCCGAATTCTTGACTGCTTACAATGTAGACAGAAGGGCCATCTGGCTAAAGTGTGCAGAGCCCCACAACCAAATTCCAGGCCAGTAGACAAGAAATTTTTAAAAAACCACTATTTTAAAAATACAAACAGGGGAGAGGATTGCTATACTATTAACAACTATAGTTATCCTTCACCACCACCACCACCACCCAAAAAAAACAGTAATTGGCAATGCAATCAGTGATAATAAGAAGAAAAACTTTGTTACTGTCAAATTAGAAGGGTCTCCATGGAAAATGGAGGTGGACACAGGTTCTTCTAAGTCCCTGATGTCCTGGCAAAATATTAAGAAATTAGTTCAAAAATTCAACCAGCCTTACTAAATTGAGGAACTACCAAGGCAGACTCATTCCCATTCTGGGTACCTGCCCATTCCATATTCAGTATGGAAATTTTTCAGGGTCTCTTCCACTCATTATAGTGGAAGACCCACACCCTAGCCTTTTAGGCTTGGAATGGTTCAATTCACTGGGCCTTTCCATAGCTGGAATCCACCATTTCCAAGAACCACTGCTGTCAGATCTCAGCAAGGGGTTCAACAGGGTCTCCACCTCAGGCTTGGGCAAGTACACTGGAAATCCTCTTTCCTTTAATTTAGATCCCCAGGTGGCTCCCATTAAAATTAAGTCCAGGCAAGTTCCCTTTGCTCTTAAAGCAATTCAAGATGGTCCAACTCCACAAAACAAAACAGTTTCAGGCCTTTTTGAGCCTCCTCAATTTTTATAGTTTATTGTTGCCATATAAGGCATCAGTGACAGAGCCTTTACATAGGCTGTTAGAGTCCAAAAGGCCTTGGCTGTGGGGATCTCACAAAACTGCCGCCTTCAAAGCGGTTAAAAGGCTGCTAACATCAGACAGACTCCTCATACAATACAGTGACAGATTGCCTCTAATCCTAACATGTGATGCCTCACCTTATGGCATAGGAGCAGTCCTAAGCCATAGATTACCTACAGGATTGGAGGCACCTATAGCATATTTTTCCTGAACCACGTCACAAGCTGAAAGGAACTATGGTCAAATTAATAAGGAGGCCTTAGCCTTAGTTGTAGGAGTGAAACAATTCCATCCTTGCACCAGATAAGCAAAAACCTCAAATACTATCCCCATGAATGACAAGATGGACGGTATTCATGCAAGCCTATGATTATACATTAGAGCACAGACCAGGAAAAAACTTTGCTCATGCAGATCCTTTGAGCGGATGCCCATTACCATTGGCAGGAGAAGACCCCGCAACTGATTACACTGCCTTATTAATAAAGGAGCTGCACAGTCCCTTAACTGCAGCAGATGTGTCCAAAAGCTCTGCCAAGGACAAAGTGATAGCAAGGGTATTGGATTGGGTTAAAAGAGGTTGGCCCTTGGATTCCTTGGGATCAGACTTTAAAGCATACAGAGCAAGGCAAAATGAACTATCAACCATGAAAGGCTGTTTGCTATTGGGACATAGAGTGGTTATTCCTGCCACATTACAGAAACAAATTCTAGACACCTTACATGACAGCCACCCAGGAGTAGTACGAATGAAAAGTCTGGCTAGAAGCTATGTATGGTGGCCAGACATAGATAAAGACATTGGTACATGGATGGATGGCTGTCAACGATGCCAGGAGTCGAGGGCAAAACATCAAAAGCTTCCCCCACTAGAGTAGGACAGACCAAGAGCCCCTTGATTTAGATTACACATAGACTTTGCTGGCTCTGTGAAAGGACAAATGTTTCTCATCGCAGTGGACGCCTATTCTAAATGGGTGGAGGTTAAACTGATATCCTCTACCACAGCAGAAGCCTTAATCAAGGTTCTCCAGGTTCTATTTGCAACCCATGGCAGACTAGATACTATTAATTGGCCCCCAGCTGAGCTCTGGCCCCTTTTGAACTCTACCTGGCAGGACTGGGTATATGACATATCCTTACAGGCCTATTTTTCCTGCTACCAATGGAAGAGCTGAAAGAGCTGCATACTCTGTTAAGGAGGCATTATCAAAATGGGCCCAGGGGACTGGAGCTCTAAAATTTCAAAATACCTGTTAATCCAGCATGCTACCCCTTGCCCAGACACCACTCAAAGCCCAGCTGAACTATTGATGGGGAGGAGAATAAAAACTAACTTGGACAAACTTCTTCCACTGTGAGGACCTTTCAAACAGGAGCGCTTGTATATGCCAGAAATTATTCTGGACAACCCCTCTGGCTACCTGGGAGAATTACTGAAATAACAGGCCCAAGGTCTTATAAACTGGTACTGGAGGATGGAAGGATGTGGAGAAGGCACGTAGATCAATTGAGGGATTGGTATAACACAAGGCCAAAATCCCTAATACCAGACATAATCACACACAATCCAAATAAAAGTATAATTCCAGATGGGCCTAACACAGCAGAGCCAATCCACGAGCTGGAGGTCACTGTAGGAAGAGAATACGACTTACCTGACCTGGAGACCAGTATTCCGAGCACCAAGGCATATGAGACAAAGATGAGTCTTCTCTGAGAAGTTCCAGGGAGCCTTCAGTGGTTCCACCTAATCCAGCATCTGCAGAGAGCCTTCAGAGGTCCAGGAGAATCAGAAGACAGTCTGCCTATCTACTGGACTACGAGTGTGCCATCTAGAGATGGAGGAGTGCTTTGTCCAGGCTTCCCTCGGATCCATGCCTGACACAGAAGCTGCTGAGCCCTGATTGGCTGAGGAGAAACTAGTGCCACTATATAAGAAGCTGTCAAAAGGCTGGCAGCTGCTGCTCCTGTTAGCCTACCAGCCTCATTAGCTGTCAAACTAGTGCTTATTATTAGCCTCCAATGTTAGCAATAAAGACTGTTAGCTTTTACCAATTGTCTCACCTCAGTATGTAAGTACCCTCGCGCTGGGATATGACAGTGGCATTTAGAATGTTTTTACAAAATCATAGGCAGAACCGTTTTAGACCAGGAGCCTCCATCACAAAACAGAAACATCCAAGAAAAAATGAACAGAGGAAGGGAAACACACATTAACTATATGAATAATGAATGTAAATCTGGACCACAGGCAAACAGAAAAAGGTCTTCCTTATCTATGGAAAAGTGGTCAAGCTCAGACGCTTGTGGTTACAGTGATGCTCAGCATCTCATTCTTACACCGATCGCACTCTGTTTGCACCCTAATGGCAACACATTCGTGAAAACAAAACTGGATCTCAATGCATTCCTATCAGTATCTGCTTCTCGGTCTAAGGACAGGTACTCCAGATTAGGTTACATTTCTTTTTATTTTTCTTCTCTTTTTTTATCTCTGTTTGTTTCCCTCCATTAATACAGCCCAGGGAACCAGCTATCCCAGGGAAATGGAAGGCAATTGAATCCTGCCAACACAGGCAGTCCTTATGTATGGAAAGATCAATTCCTTCCCAAAGAAAAATTAAGGAAAAACATATGCCACCACAGCAAGAGAGCCAACCCGTATCTATGGAAAAGGTAGCAGGCACAGGAAGTAAAACAGCACACCCTTCCAGCAAACAAGCTGACCCTTATCTACAGAAAAAAGGGGACGACATGGCAGAAAGTAAGTAAATTGAGATATAGACACTTATAAAAGCAAGCTAAATGACACTGATAATTTGGCTTGAGAGCAAGTAAAAATCATAGTGCTGAAGGAAAAGCACCCAGGATGAAAAATAGCAATTTAGAGAAAAGAAGGAATGGAAAACTCAATCCTGGCAGCAAGGTTAAGTTTCCTCCAATTAAGTAAAGGAGCATCAGAGAGATGATAGATAATGAGGAAAAGGCAAAAAGGACTCTGACAGTGGCATGCTGTTGAGGCATAGTCTTCATCAGGAGAAAGGTTGAAGCAAAAGAATCCAGAGGCACATGTTCAGAAATCTCATCACAGTATATAGTCTGGGTATTGGTACACCCACCCTCTTTATTTTCATGCCCCCAGAGAAGGCAAAGAAAAAACATCCATAGGAGCTAAAGCAATCCCTGTCTCCCAGCCAAAATGGCCTCAAGTAACCCCAGTTAGAAGACTCAGACAGGCTGAATTGACAGATTAAGGATTAAGTCAGTGAACACAAAGTCACACAGAATTTACATTCCCCACCTTTCCCCAGCCTTGACCCTGACCACTACCCAGGAAACTAAATAGGGACAATTAGAATAGAGAATCTAATCCAGAGGTGGGTTCCTTCCGGTCGGGTATGGTACACCAGAAGAGGTAGTGAAAATCTGGCGTACCGGACAGGACCAGGAGATGGTGGCCTGGCCACGCCCCGTACCAGCGAAAGAAAGAAACAGCCGAAGAAGGAAGAGGAGCGAAGGCCTCGGCTGTTGGAAGAAGTGCCTGCACTTCATTCTCTTTGAGAGCCACCTTGCTTGCCGTGGGGAGAAATCAGGGGGAGAAAGGCAGGAGAAAGCCGAGCTTCTGCTAGGGATGGCCTTCTCCTCCCTCTCTCCCCCTGATTTCTCCCCGGCCACACTCGCGGAAGAAGGAGGCAGGGATGCTGGCTGGCTCTCGCTTCTCTTACCGCTCACCACCACCACCCCTGTAGCCCACCGGCTGCAGCCCAACCTGCCCTGCAGGGAAACAGAGATTTCTTTGCCAGCCTCCCAGCTGATATGTCCCATCCAGCCCCCCATACACACGCACCTCGTGCTATGGCAAACGGTGTGTGTGTGTGTGTGTGTGTGTGTGTGATGCACATGCCTTCCATGGCATGCCCAATACCTTTGGACACCCACCAGGTCACCCACCGAGCGGCAGAGAAATTGGGCTTCAGAAAAAGGAAAAAAAAACATTTGAAATTAGCCCTCTCTGCCTCTCTTCTAAAAAGGTGGGAACCACTGCCAAGAGGTAACAGGACAACTAACCATATTTGGTTAGCCCCCAGAGCGGGAAGAGGCTGAATTGGGGGCTCTGTGAGTTGGTTTATAGGACACGATGGCCGTGGTCATAGGATTTGTTGGGAGTCGGTTTTAGTTCATAAAATATACCTACGAATATAAGTGGAAGGGATGTGTGTATGAGAGGGTGGGGGGAGAGAGAGAAAGAGAGAAAGAGTAAGAGATAAAGAAAGAGAAAGAAAAAGGAAGGAAGGAAGGAAGGAAGGAAGAAAGGGAGAGAGAGAGAAAAGAGAGACAAAGATAGAAAGCAAAAGAAAGAGAAAAAAGAGAAAGAAAGAAAGTGAGAGAGGGAGAGAGAAAAGAAAAAGAAAGAAAGAAAGAGAAAGAAAGAAAGAAAGAAAGAAAGAAAGAAAGAAAGAAAGAAAAAGAAAGAGAACTTATGACCACAATTGAGCCCAAACTTTTGGTTGCTAAGCAAGAGCGTTGTTAAGTGAGTTTCACCACATTTTACAAGTTGGCCATGCCCACCCAGTCACACTACCACCAAGCCATGCCCACAAAATAGGCCACACCCAAATAATAGGTAGAAAAAAAAATTGAAACCCACTCCTGATCTAATCTAATCATATTACCCCACCAGGCATCTCAATCTCAAAGGGCCAAAAGGGTATAAAAATCACTCTACTTCCCATGCCAGGGGGTCAACTGTCCCAGAACTGATGCTAAGACATTTCGCTTCTGATTCCTAAATAAAGGGAGCCTGCCTCCAAATTCATTGACTCTTGCATCTTTCTCCCGGCTGATTTTTCTTCCAACAAAACTGTGGAGGATGAGTAAAGAGTTAGTGGTGTGGATCCCTTTTCCCTTTGCACCTACAGTACAAGAAATACTTCTGTTTGCATATACAAATTATTAGGCCCAAACCCAGAAACAAGACAGTGGGGTCCAATTGAGTCCAGTTCTTTATTTGCTCACACTTAATGGATAGAAGCTTGCCAAACTACTTCTAACTTACTAATTATATCCTGGGAGATTCTAGGCTTCCCTAAATCTTTTCCCTCTTCCCCTCAGGACCGCACAGTGTCTTATTCCAGGCCTCTTTCAGGGAAATATCTGGGTTGCCAAAGGTCTCCCACTCTGCACATTCCATCACATCAATTGCTCTACACATTCATTTAACATACACCTCCCCATCACCCCTATTCCACCACTTTTTCTTTTTGGGGATTCAAAAATTTGAGGAGCCGTAATAATCCAGTGCAGAGGTGGGTTGCTACCGGTTCGCACCGGTTTGTTGGCCTGGGTCATAGAACCAGCAGCGACCCAGGCTGGCCACACCTCCAAACCAGTTCCCTGGTCGCCGCTGGCATTGCCGGCATGTTTTTTTGTCCTTTTTTAAATGTTCTGCGTATGCGCACAATATTTTACAAGCAACTCGCATGCGAAGCATGCATGCAGCGAACTGGCAGTAATGCCTGCAGCAACCCACCCTTGATCCAGTGTCCTTAACTGTCTGGGCAAGCTTATCTGAGAATAAGATGTAAGTAATAAGGTCATATGGACAAGTTCTTACTTCACACATTTCCTGAGGAAGCAAAATTCTCCACTCAGAGCTGGGATGACCTAATTAATACATAGATGAAAAGGGGGCAGTGATAGCACACATCCTTTAGACATTTATGTTGTTGGGAGTCGTCAGATGTCCTGGGATGACCCTAATCTGAATTTGAGTGCTTGTGTATTAAAACACAATCATGTTTAGTATGAATAACCTTCTATCTAATTTAACCCATAGCTTGTTTCTGCTAATAAAAACAATTTCCTGAAGGCATGTTTTACATATTTATCAAATCATACAATACAAAATTGTTGAGCATTCTACTCTGCAAATATGTTGTTTCAGTGACCTAAACCACTAATTTGTTAGCTAGAAGTTTAGCATACATCTGGCCATGATGTTAATCAGCCTAATTGGCCTATAATTCCCCAGAGGATTGCCTTTTTTTTCATATTGGGATCACTAGAGCTTGCATTGCAACTCCTCTTGAGGGAGTTGGTGTGAGGAGTTAACGTTATTAAAAAGTTCAACCAAAATAGGCTTCCACCAAACAGTATTAACTTTTAATGAATCTCCATGGGTATAATCTTCTCCTGAGACTAAGTCAGAAACAGAGGTTCAATTTCTTTTAGAGAGAGGGGGGCTTGAGAATAAGATTTGGATTAATCAGAGAATTGTCCTGGGTGAGATAGGAAGCAAACAATCTATTTTAATGATTCTCCCATTCATTTTTGGATTCTCTACTTTCTAAAAATACTTATCTTCATCCAAATTGTCTTTTCAGAATAATGCTGTTTTTTTAAAAAAAAAATCCATGGCAGTCAGGAGAGAGTGCTAAAGAATCATGTCATATATTTTAGGAGATATTTGTACTTTAGGAGATGTTTATATCCCCTCCCCATTTTTCCCCTAAGCAGCTCCATGATTACTTATGTGGAATAATTTTCTTTTGCTTTCCTTGCCAAATTGCTAACCATTCAACATACTGCTGTAGTCTTAAACTGAAACATATTTTATGCAGATACATAATAGGCTGTTTGATTTTGGTCAATTTTCCATTCCATTAAAGAATTTAGAAACTACTACCATCAGCTGCATATTTGATAAAAACAAACAAACATTGAATAATGTAAAATTTAGGATGAAGTATTGCAGCAATGGCACTCAAGCTTCCTCTTTCCAGTCTGTTGAAGAACCAGGGCTAACTTTACTCTGAGGGGGTCCTTGGTGCTCTCTCTTGTAAACACTGCTCTCTACTGGCACTGGTCATGTAACCTACTTGGGTAATGAAACATCTATAAGAAAATTAGTTTTTTGTTTTTTTTACTAATAGAAATATCTTCTATTAGTAAAATTACTAATTTTCTTATAGATGTTTCATTACCCAAGTAGGTTACATCACCAGTTACTCTTTCAACATGTTTTCCAACCCAACACAAATCCACTTAACCTGTAGTAAGCCTCTTTGCTATCCAAAATGTCATGGAGTTCTTTGTCAAATATTTTGCCAAAATCAAACTGCAACCAGGGTGCATGTCAAGATATTGAAGAAAAATAAAATGTTGTTTTACCTTGAATGGTGGAGCTGCGGGAATGGGAGAGGATAAATGCAATATGAAAGGCTACCTCTACCTTGCAAACCTCTTTGTAATTGAAGTTAGAACTTTATTGCTGGTCCCTCCATCTTCAAGGGAGAGTATATCTTTGAACAGTGATAATTTTTTTCACTGGAAAAAATATCTGATTCCAGCATGTTTGTAAGAGCTCTCACATTTTTTTAAATAAATTCTAGAGCTAAACAAATCTGTTTTACTGGTAGCGAAGCAATTGTTCAAGAAATCTAAACAGAAAGCTTTGATAGGAAGTACAAGCATATTATGCATATTATGCATATTATGAAATTAAGAATGGCTACATTCTGGGGAAAAGAAAGAGAGGGGGGTGGATAGCTGTTTAGCAAACCCTTTTCATAAATCCAGAGCAATAGCCAGATATTCAGAAGACATAATAGGAGACTGATTAACTTCTTAAAGTAAACTTTTTGAAGCAAAAATATGCCTTCATTCAAGTCAACACTGGAAGTTTTAAAGAAGAGATTGGATAACTATTTGTCTGAAGTGGTATAGGGTTTCCTGCCTAAGCAGGGGGTTGGACTAGAAGACCTCCAAGGTCCCTTCCAACTCTGTTATTCTAAATCTGGCATTTTAGAGAAGTTTAATTCCTCTGAAAGTGAGGCAATAAGAAGTGATCATTTCACCCTGCTATCACTGGTTTATGAAGCAACAGACTGTTGAAAGCAACCAATGGAAATTCTGAAATTCTGCAAATTCTGTATAAGTTGTGGAAGAATTACCAATATTTCAGAGAAGGGCATCTTTAGTACAATAGAGCATTATTGGTTTGATGGTCCCTGCTTCCCAAAACTTTCAGCAAGATCCATTGCCATATTGGTTTAACAGACTCACTTCTTGACAAGGCATTTGGGAGTAGAAGTATGATATAACTAACAGACATGTGAAGATTCACCAGATTCTAATGGTAACATTATTTGAGAAGAAGCAGAATTAAAGATAATGATGGTTGGAGGTTCCTAGGAGGAATATTAAAATGAAAGATTCATCCCGCCTAACCTCACATTGCAGAAAAACACTCTTAACAATCCAAATATGTGTGAGTGGACATGCGGTGAAATGAGAACATTGTGATAATAAATGCAGGGATCATGGGAAGTATGTGTAACTCTCTCATGCTGTGAATCTGTGTCTTTTTTATTACACTTGAAAATCTCCTCCAGAGAAGGTGATAATTTTTCATTTTTCAACATTAATTTTTTGCTCATCTTCTCCAAAGTTTGGGTCCTCTGTTCTTTAAGAACTTTAGAAACTCTGGTAGTAATTATGACTGTGTTTATTAGCATTTAGGCTTTTAGTCACATGTCTTTGGACCATCTAGTTTTTTGCAGCCAAAATCACGACTGGAACAAATATCAAACATAATAAATGGAAAGATTGCAATCATTTACCTCAGTGGTGTTTTATTGGTATAGACCAGAGGTGGGTTGCTGCCGATTCAGCCCGGTTTGGCTCAACCGGTAGCAGAATTCAAGCCTGGGTTGCACAACCAGCAGCAACCCAGGCCTGCCACGCCCCTGAACCAGTTCTCTCGCTGCTGCTTGACTGCCGCCATGTTGGATTTTAGTGACTGCATGTGCGCAGTTCACTATAAATTGTTCTGTGCACAGAACAATTTACATTAAGAGCGTGTGCACCCATTACGCATGGATTGCAAACCAGCAGTAACACTGGCAGCAACCCACCCCTGGTATAGAAGTGGTTACAGTCAGAATAAAATTAACTTTAACATTAAAATTAATGCACCTTAGTATAAGGCAGAGAAAAACAATATAAATGAGAAAGTAAGTAATGTGGCAATATGCCCAAATGGTACAGATTATAAAATCCATGAATATAATGGGAAGAATACAATAAACAATGTCTTACCAGTCAGAAAATAGAGGCTGAAACACTTTTTTCATTTCCAAGGTAGTAATGTTTTCATCTGAAACTTAAAACTTCCTAATCAAGACTAAATTAGTGTCAAGAGGAAGAAAAAGAGAAAGCTATGGGTGGCAAGAAGCATGGTGTGGAGTACTTTGAAATTGTACATTATAATATTGCGGGCTGCTATTTAATTTCTTTAAAAAACCTATATACACCATAAAAATAATTAAACCTGCACCCTTCATAACAAATTTGTGGTAGATCTAGTTTCCCTGCAGAGTGTATTTTTTTCTTCAACAGCTGCACTGCATAATAAGATGAAATTCAACTGGAGAAGCTATTCCAATCTTATCTTGCTAAATTTCTGTGCACTAAAAACTTCAAAGAAAATGAAAGCATGCAGTCTCAGAAAAGGGGACAGCATAAGAAAAACAATGTAAAAAACTGAGACAGAACATCTGCTACTAAATTCTATACAAAACTTAGTTTAGATAGCCCTATTGAAGTTAGTGGAACTGGCTTCCAAATTAATATATGTGGGATTGCCTTATTCTCTATTCAGCAATAATGCCTAAAGTGAATTATTTTTACAGCCCAGTTCAAGAAAGGGTGAGAGAAAAAAGTGGCAGGGGAAGTGCTTGTGGGACGAATACTATGTATGTTTCTCTTTGGTTGAGTCTTGTTCTTTTGACCCTGTCCCTTATTTGGCCTAACAGATCCCCAGGTGCAGACAATGCTGGGTGAATTTTCATTTCAGCCAATCAACCTCCCCCCTTGCTCTTTTATAATTCCAGTCCTCCCGCACTTCTGTTTTTACCAGCAATAGCAGCTCGCTGGTGCAGCATTGGTTTATTTGGCCGCTACAACCATGGAGTTGGGTTGTAGTGGCTCTCTAGGTTTAGTATTCCTAGTGATTCTGGGGTTATGTCATGGGCAAGCAGACTTCTGGAAAGCTGGCACAGAAGCCATCCAGTATCACTATAACTGTGAAGATGATGGTTTCCAGTTGCTTGTGTACCGCAATCAAGTCCAAGAGGTCCGCTTTAAAGTTGTGGGTAAGGACAATCGTCTGTTTTCCTGCAAAATACTAAATTAGAGTTGTAACATTTCTTGTAACAAGAGGACACTTGGGGCTGTAAGGGACTTTATGCTTAGTACACATAGTAATCCTTTTTAAGGTGGGTATGGTGGCTACTCCTATATTTAGTATTACTGAGCAAAAGGAAGTTAGACAAGTTTCTCCCTGTGAGTGAAGAGTTGACATCAAGTTGATTCGGAATATCTAATTGCCATTTCTACAACTTAGAATAGATGTAGGCTTTTCTAGCAAGTTCTGCTGGCATTCTAGGAGGGAAAGACATGTTGATTTAAAGAAGCCAGCAATCAGAAGGAGCCTGGCAAAACTTTTTCCAACTAACCAACTTTATTAAAAGGAATCACCTCTGAGGGGGCAAATAACATGGGTTTTGTTATTTGTTATCTAACATAGTTAGTTTGTATTTTAATCTGATTTATATTCTTTCTTTTAAAGTAATGTTCAATATTTATTAGCTTTTAACACTCCTAAACTGATAAACAAGCTGGAAACTAGTTCCATGATAAGAAAAGTTTGTTAGTATTGGGGTCTGGCTTATCTCTTGTGAACCCTAAACAACCTTTCTCACAATTTATTCCCCTTCAGACCTCATTTTAATAAACATGTATGCTATTATCCTGTTCAATCAACTTTCCTCTATCAGACTTCTTTGTTATGGGATGCAAGCTAAAGATCAGGGTTCCCCCTTTGAATGAGGAATCCCTTTTGTCTGAATATTCTGATAAATTGTAATAAAATGATCTTCCTGTCTTGGTTTATCTCATTGGAAAACATGCACACCGAGGCACAAGCCTGAAAAAGCCATATTTGGCCATCATCTCTCATATTTTATTCCAGTTGTTTATTGGTCAGAGTCACCCAGAGAGTATTGTGGTTTGGAGAATTTAAACCCACATTGTCCTGGGTCTCAGAGGACATGCTAATTGCCCTACAATTAGTAAATTTGTAGGGCAATTAGCATGCAATTATAGTGAAAAGAGCAAGGGGAAAACAAGCTATAGGCAATCCATGGTTCACAAGCAGCTTCCTCCTAATATAAATTTGGCTAGATAATCTGGAGTGAAATATTTAATAGGGACAGGAAATCTTACAAAGAAATTAGAGCATTAGGAAAGATTAGCAATTTCTAGGAGTTTAAGAAATAATTCCTCAATTCCTGGGGAGTAAAATTGGAGGTTTAGAAATGCAAAACCAGGAAAGCTATTCACAAACCTTGGCTTTTTAAATGAAGCTGCTTGCTATAACTTGCTAAAGTTTCTGTAATTTTGTTCTTGATATAATTTAATCTAGCGTCCAATTCTTGTAGAATTTGTTTTCAGATAAACTCCTATAGGAATGTCAGATCAGAGACTATGTCTTGATTCACATATTGTAAGCTTGGGTTATCTAAATGAGGTTTATCAAATAAACTAATTGGTTGGTTTCTACAATGAACTATAATATGATTTACAAATCCTCATGGCTGGGACTAATTTATGACTAATTTATGACTATTATAGCCTCCTCCTTGTGGGAGGTAACTTCAACTTCCAGAATTCTCCAGCCAGTATGGTTCTTGGAGAGAATTCTGAAAATTGCAGTCCAAAGTTTAACGGTACTGTAGAGGAAGCTCAAAGAATTCATGCAATTTGTAACATATACAAATTATAGAAATTAAATTATTTAATCTGCTTCTAGCCTTTATATCTCTTCAGTAATTGTGGGGTGTTATGAAGACCATGTAAGTAATCCAAACAACACATATTTGCAGAGCCTATTAATGCTATTGCCTTTGGCATCTATTTGGATAAATAGCCTTTGATAGTTAATGCATTAATTTTTGTCAACAGATGAATTTGGGAAAGTCGTTGACGTTTCCAATTGTCCCTTCTGTCGTCACTTGATTATATCAGATAATAGGACAGTTACCTTCTCTGCTGGCTATGGTAGTCGCTGCGGTATAATAAAGAAGGTGAGACTTTGCTAGAAAATACTGGGTGTGGGGAGGGGAGCTGTAGACATATGTATTGTATTTCTGAATTTCTACTTAGAAGAGTTTTTACCAAACTTTCCCCATCAGATATTTTTGGCTTAAATTTGCATGAACCAAAACAATGTTGGCTAGAAATTAGGAGAATGGCCACCCCAAACCTCAGCAAGGCCCCAAGCTGGGAAAGGCAGAAATATAATTTATGTAGACACCTGGGTCTCCATTTCCTCCCCAGAAAATTCAAGGACAATGCAAAAACTGCAGGGAATGATTTTTGAAGCCCAGAAGCTACAGTTGCTACCACACTAATCAGAATGGACTAATCTGCAGGACTTGAGTCCATTCTAAGAAACTAATCAGACAACCCCCTCCCTAATTAACATCAAGATAAAGTGAAGGAAGCAAATTCTTTTACTGCAGTATTGTGTTTTTAGCTCTATATAGAAGTAATTTCTCAGTCTGCCCTACCCTATAGGGTTTAAGCTTGGGTTATCTAAATGAGGCTCCCTTTATTCACATATTACAAATAGGAACAAGGTATGTTAAAATAGAATATAATAGAAGGGAAATTCCATAGTTTCAAACTACTGTGATTTGGAAATCCTAAACCTAACACATGGGAGACATCCTTGTCAATTTTACTGTTAAAAACATTTTCTGAAGCATAGCAATATGCACACACATGCACCCACATACATAGCCAGTGTATAAAAGCTTATACTGTAACATTTTGGATTAATGTTTTTCTAGGATGGAAAACTTCACATGAAAGTTCATTTAGAGCAACTAACAAGGAATGGAAGAGTAGCTGCTCATGACATCAACATGATCTGCCCGAAGCCACAGGAGCATTTCACAACCCCAATGTGGCCTCAGCCTGGTCTTGTGCACCCTATCCAGCCAGGACAGATTCCCCCAGGAGAGTCTCAACCCGGCCTAGTGCCCCCCATCCATCCAGGACAGATTCGGCCAGGAGAGTCCCAGCCTGGCCTAATGAGCCCCGTCCAGCCCGGACAGGTACGCCCAGGAGAATCTCTGCCCGGTCTTGTGCGCCCCATCCAGCCAGGACAGGTGCGACCAGGAGAATCTCACACCGGCCGAGTGCGGCCCATCCAGCCAGGACAGGTTTGCCCAGGAGAATCTCTGCTCGGCCTAGTGTGCCCCATCCAGCCAGAACAGGTGCGCCCAGGAGAATCCCACACTGGCCTATTGCGCCCCATCCAGCCAGGACAGGTTCGCCCAGGAGAATCTCTGCCCGGCCTAGTGCGGCCCATCCAGCCAGGACAGGTGCGCCCAGGAGAATCTCACACCGGCCTAGTGCAGCCCATCCAGCCAGGACAGGTTTGCCCAGGAGAATCTCTGCTCGGCCTAGTGTGCCCCATCCAGCCAGGACAGGTGCGTCCAGGACAATCTCTGCCCGGCCTTGTGCACCCCATCCAGCCAGGACAGGTGCGACCAGGAGAATCTCACACGGGCCTAGTGCGCCCCATCCAGCCAGGACAGGTTCGTCCAGGAGAATCTCACACCGGCCTTGTGCGCCCCATCCAGCCAGGTCAGGTGCGTCCAGGAGAATCTCTGCCCGGCTTAGTGCGGCCCATCCAGCCAGAACAGGTGCGTCCAGGACAATATCTGCCCGGTCTTGTGCGCCCCATCCAGCCAGGACAGGTTCGCCCAGTAGAGTCCGAG